CACCCCGGCGGGACGTGCGGGGGGGGGGATGTGCACCGCGTGCACCCCGGCAGGACGCGGTGGGGGGGCGCACCCCGGGCCCGTCCTTTTATCCGGCGAAGCCGAGCTTGTTGTGGTTTTCGAGGAAACGGCATCTGGATTGCATAAGGACTGGAGGAGTTTTTGCATCACTTGTTTATTTAATACCTTGGCGCGGGGCGGGGGGTAACCCTGAAACCAGATCACCGAATTTGGGCTTAAAATAACCTCCCAGGAGGGGCCCAGCAGGCAAAGGAGAGGGGGGGGAATGCAGATTTTTCCCTGCGGGCGCTTCAGGAAGCCTGCTGCCCTCCACCACCCGGGTCGCCCACGGCTCGTTACTGGCAGCAGCCGGGCGTCTGCGCCCCGCCCCGGCCGCCGCCGCAGCGCGTCCCGGCGTCCCCGCGGGGGCCGGGCGGCGGGGACTCCCCGCGCACCCCTGTGGACGGGTGGTTCTCCACCTCCGCACAAAGGCGGGCCGGCTTTCGCCACCTACCGGCGGCGTGTGCGGGGCCGCAAGGACGTCCCCGTGACTTCCGCGCTGGCCGCTGCCGGACTGAAGGCGACATTTGACTGGAGCGAGAGATAAGGTCTCGGAAAAGGCCGGCGTCGCCCAGTCTGCGCCCCCCGAGGCGCGGGGACCCCCCCCGCCGCCCGCTTCGCGACCCCGGGTCCCCCGCGTCTGCCCGCCGGCGTCCGTGGGAACCCGCAGCGGATGGCGGGCTGGTTGGGAGTCAGGCTGCACTTCCCACGTGACAGCCACGCACAAGACACACCCTAACAAGAAACACGTTGTGCGTGGCCGCCCCCCCCCCGGCTCGGAGCCCCAGAGCGCGGCGCGCTCAGCCAGCCAGGGCGTGACTCCGGCGCGGACTTAGCGTGCGCCCCGCCCCGCCCCGCCCTTCGCTGACCTCGGGCCCGCGCCCGGGGGGGGGGGCGCGCTCTGCCGCCCTGGACGCGGGCGATGCGCGTGCCGACGGGGAGCCTCGGTGGTTTCCTTGTTACCATTAATTAAACTATTTCCCGGAAGCCCTTCCTCTAGCACCCCGTAGATCTTCCTTCCACATTCCGCCGCCGCCGCCTCTTCCCCCGGGAAGTGGCAGTTGACAGACTAATGTTCCCGGCTGG